TAGTGAAACCCACCACTCCGATCCAGCAGACCGCAGTCTCTGCTCAGGGCTCCGAACAGGAAGCTTCGCTACACGCTGGTGTGAGTGATCCTAGAAAGAGTAAACTGAAGACTGACGGCCAGGACATTACAGCCTGTTTCCCAGAACACAATGGCAGAGGGGTTTCAGTTCCCACCAGCTGGACTGCGGTCTGGGGAGGCTAAGGCTCACCAGGCCCTGAGAGGGGAAAGCAAGGAGAGATGGCCATTTGGGGAACCACCTGATAAGGTGGGCTGGACGGCCTGAGTGAGCAAGGAGGGGGGTGCAACAGGAACAGAATCAGGAGGAAGAACTTAAAATGTTGATGGCTCACAAGTTCTGTATTAAAAGCCTGATGCTGAAAGATGGCGGAAGATAGGTTGGATCCCTTTTTGGCTGCAATGGAAAACTTTGTAGGTACAGAAGAAGAAAGCTGGAAGAATGGAGCGAGGAGAAGGGAAGACACAAGGAAGGAAAGAAAAAGGAACCAAGAATGTACAATGAGGGCCAGAAAGGAAGGACATGGGTATGTTAGATGCCAAATGACAGTAAGTGGAGAGAACAGGGATGAAGAATAGAGATGAGAGGGAAAGAATGAACACAGGAAGTGGAGCAAAATGAGAGGCAAGCTTAGGGATTCCAGCTGGAGTCCTAGCCCGCCAACATGTAGCCGAAGAAAGGTAGAGGGCGCAGTAGGCCTGACTTAGTGTTTGTCAAGACCACCTCCTTGCCAGTCTGGCTTCTAGTCTTCCATCTCTTCCTGTGAATGCACAGAGGTGCCACAGCACAGAGGCCTGGCCCGGGGTGAAATGACTATGCGGAGAAATACTGAACTGGGGAAGGGGTTGGGGAAGGCAAAGGGTAAAGAGAGGCACTCCCTTTACTAGAGGAACCCCATCTTTGAGCTCTCCTCACCCATCCAGCCACAAAAAAACAGGTTTCTCTTCACTTTCGTCCTCATCAGAGGTGGAGCCATAAGGAGTGGTCCAGGAACTTGGATTCTAAGTGCCCGACCCCATGTTTTGTTTTGTTTTTCTTCCTGGACATTTATTCTGGAAATACCTTTACCTTTTCTGCAACACACCCCAGGACCTCTGCCACAGCCTGGGTGATAACTGACTGACACTGTAATCTTACCAGACAGGATCTGCCTCAAGCCGGCCCATAGTGTGTGGTTCTTGACTTTGTGCAGGAAAGATTGCACAGCAGGAGTCCAGGTGATTCTGAGAGCACGTTTATTATTATTATTATTATTATTTTATATATTTTATTGATTTTGTACAGAGAGGAAGGGAGAGAGATAGTTAGAAACATCGATGGGAGAGAGTCATTGATCAGCTGCCTCCTGCACACCCCCCACTGGGATATGCCCGCAACCAAGGTACATGCCCTTGACCGGAATCGAACCCGGGACCCTTCAGTCCCCAAGCCAACGGTCTATCCATTGAGCCAAACCAGTCTCGGCTGAGAGCACGTTTATTAAATGTACTGGGGACAGTGAGCCAAAGGAAGGACGTAGGACAGCAGCAGCAGCAGCAGCAGGAGAGAGCGTAGGTGGGCTCTGCTTGGCTCCCTGGGAATGTTACAGGAAGAAGTGGCCTGGGCAGGGCTGCTGTGAGCTCACAGGGAAGGGAAGGTCACAGAGACAGAGTGAGCTTGGGTAGGGCTGCATTAGCTCACTGGGAAGTCAGAGAAAAGGAGGACCTTGGAGACAGGACCAGGGGTGAGCCTGGGATGTCCTGCTGCTGCCCTTTGCTCCCCTGGTTGCAAGTCCCTTAGGGACCCTAGAGTTTAGGAGAAAGAAAGTAAAAAGTCATGCCTGAGCAGGGCATGGGCGTGCCCCCGAGAGAGCCCATGCTGGTATGCTTTGTCTTGAGCATTTCTCTCTTAGGTGGAGGGTCCCCAACAGAACACTCACCAGCTTCTCAAGTGCATTTTTAAAATATATATATTTATTAATTTCAGAGAGGAAGGGAGAGGGAGAAAGACAGAGATATCAATGATGAGAGAGAATCATTGATCGGCTGCCTCCTGCACACCCCCTGATGGAGATCAAGCCCGCAACTGGGCATGTGCCCTTGGCTGGAATCAAACCTGAGACCCTTCAGTCCTCAGGCCAACACTCCATCCACTGAGCCACAGCAGTCAGGGCCTCAAGCACATTTTTTAATGCTGCTGCTGCTGCTGCATCAGGAGTATACAGGGGAGTGAAATAAGACATTAAGAATATACATCTGCCAAAACTGGTTTGGCTCAGTGGATAGAGCGTCAGTCTGCGGACTGAAAGGTCCCAGGTTCGATTCTGGTCAAGGGCATGTACCTTGGTTGCAGGCACACCCCCGGTGCAAGAGGCAGCTGGTCTATGTTTCTCTCTCATTGATGTATCTCTCTCTCTCTCCCTTCCTCTCTGTAAAAAAATCATTAAAAAATATATATTTTTTATATTTTTTAAAAGAATATACATCTCAGGTAAAAACTGCTGTTTGAATTTTAACCCTGCTAAGTCTGGCTCCTGCACCTGATTAAACAGAATTTTTACTTTAGCTTCCAGGTGGAGACCTGGAGGCTAAGGCAATTTTCCCTTGCCTGGGACCAGGACCACAGGAGATTAATTCCCACTGACTCAGTAACCTTCAGAGATAGAAACTGTAGATAACCTTCAGAGACAGAAACTGTAGATAACCTCTGAGCTCTGCTTCTGTGTTATTGGCTATCGCAAGATAGGGTCACATTCCAATGTCCAGCAGGATGTGACTGGGAACGATCCTGAGGGCTGACCCCAGTCTTTAGAATGTAGTCTTTAGGATTTAGAATTTAGAACAAAGGAAAATTCCTGTGGTTTGAACCTTTAAAAGGGATTGCCTACCCCTGAAACGGTGCGGTCATGTGGAGTCCACCTGCGTGTGGTGCTCTTGTGGCCGTCCTGGCCAGTTTTTCAATAAATCCTTGCCTGCTTTTTTAATCAATCATCAGCCTCTGGTGGTCTTATTTTGAACCCAGGGTTTGACCCCACAACAGGGAGTTTTGGATTATTCTTTGGTGGGGTTTACTGTTTTACTTTTACCATGGGTCTGTCTGGCTCTTATCTGGTTTTTGCTATTTGTTCCCTTGACTTCATCCGTCCTTGGGTTTGGCTGGCACAAATGGCATTATCTGAATCTCCCTTACCAGCGTGACTTAAGCTATTTATTCTCTGAGCAAGAAGGAGAGGTATTAACCATTTGTTCTCAAGTATCCTTGTTTAGGGAAGGTAAGTTCTTATGATCCACTGGCTGGCTGTAAATCAAACTGTTAGGCCTTGTTGAATTATCTTGTCACAGTTTCCCCATCCTCCATGCCCAGGAACTTTCCTAGCTGCTCACTATCCTGCCTCAGTAAGTCCACAAGCAGGTATCCTATGTACACCTGTGCCCAGGGACACCGGGGCCAGAAGCGCAGCTTGGGAGAGGGGGCAAGAATGACTAGAAGGAAGGCAGGAGTTAGATTCAGCCCTCGGAAATCTGACAGCAGGGGTGCCAACTGAGACCTAGTCATGAGATAGCTTTGTGTTTTAGGTGCTCACGGGGCAAAGAGTCCTCTTGGACCAGATCGTGTGTGAGGTGACCCAGTTCAGGCCCATGCTCTAGGTTTTTGTTCTGTGCAAGTGGGTGGCGGAGACAGGAAAGGGGGTGGGGGGCGGGCAAGAATGATTAGGTGTTATGTGTTGGCCAGAGTCGTCTGTAAGAGAAAATCAAATAGTATGTATCATGCTAAGTTCACAACTCACTTATCCATGAAGAGTCTGGAGCCAAAAGAAGGCCAGGTTGGAAATATAAATCTGGGAGCCATCCGTTGTGTTTACTTAAAGCCATGGGAGCACTTTGATAGCCCAAGAAGAGAGAAAACTTGGTCCAGGGCCTGAGGCGGGGGACACGATCTGTGTGTCTGTGTGTCTGTGTTTCGGTGGGACAGCAGAGGGTGCAACCAAGGCAAGGCGCCAGAGCGGAAGAACGCAGGAGCGTGTGCAGGCGCAGCAGCCCAGGGGGTGGTGGTCTACGCCGTCAGATGCTGCTCCAGGGACGGCGTGTCAGAGAGCTGATCCCACGTGGCCACCGCCAGTGGCCTTGAGAAGCGCGTGCCAGTGGCTTCGCGGCCAGGAAAGTTCCGCGGGCCATTGTAGGAAGAACGGTCGCGTTTGCTGGTGGCAATAGGAAGGCGGGACTGAAGCGGAAGGACAAACTAGGAATAATGGGGGGGGGAGGGAAGGGTGCAGGCTGGAGGGCTGGGTCCGAGCACGTTTCCCCAAACCTCTGGAAACCCACTGCAGGTGCGCGCCACGAAGAGACAGACCTGCAACCTCCGCCGGCCCCGCCCCGCCCCGCCCCGCCCCGCCCCGCCCCGCCCCGCACTCCGCGCGTGCGCGCTGGGCCGCGGGCGGCTGGCGGGCGGCAGTGCGCAGGCGCGCATCGGGCCCGCCCTTCCTCCGCGGCCGCCCCGTCCCGCGGGGGCCACTCAGGAGCCAGCAGCCGGGCTGCTCTTAAAGGAGAAACGGCGACGGGCGCGGAAGGTGGGCCCCGTCCTCCCACCGCGGTCCCGCCCGCGCTCGGCGGCGGCGCAGGCGCCGTGGAAGCTGGTAAGGCCGGGCCGGGCGGGCGCTCGAGGCGGCCCGGGATGGCCTGTGCAGGGCCCGGTCCGCTCGCTGTCCGTGCTCGGTGCGGCGGCCCGGGGCCGGGAGGGGCGGGCCCCCGGCCCCCCGCCCCCAGGACGCGCCCCTGCCGTTGAAGCTGCTTCCCACCCGGCCCCCCTCCGGAGGAGCTCCCCGTGGGAGAAGCACGTCCCGCCCGCCGCTCCTGCCCCCGGGTCCCCGCCCTCCCGCCGGCTGCAGCGGGCGCTATGGCCGCGGTTTGGGCCTGCCCGCCCCCCGCCGAGGCCGCGGAGGCCGGCGGGCGCGGGGCGGGGGCGGCCGGCCCACGCGCGCCCTCCGCCTTGCAGGGCCCGGGCCCATGGCCGCCTCCCCGGCGGAGGCCGACGCCTCCCGCAGGCGGCGGGAGAAGCGGCGGCAGCTGGACGCGCGCCGCAGCAAGTGTCGCATCCGCCTGGGCGGCCACATGGAGCAGTGGTGCCTCCTCAAGGAGCAGCTGGGCTTCTCCCTGCACTCGCAGCTCGCCAAGTTCCTGCTGGACCGGTTAGGGCTGCACGGGGATGGAGGGGGGATGAGGGGGCACGCAGAGTCCCCCATCCTCACCCCAGTGCTGGCCCATCGCTCACTCAGCGGTGTGGTATGGCCTGAGGGATGGGTGGCCTCCCAGCGTCCTGTCCCGCCTCCTTCGCCCCCATCGCCTAGGGGAACCTTAGAGCTACCTCCTAAGTGTGTGATGCCGACACTTGTCTGCTGGGGCCCGACCTGACCTGCCTCTTGTCCCCCTGGCAGGTACACCTCTCCGGGCTGTGTGCTCTGTGCAGGTGGGTAGGCAGCGGCTGGGGGCAGGGGCTCAGGTGCCATAGGGGGACCCAGGATCCTCTCCCTGAGGGCCTGGGTCGGAGGGAGCCCCGCGGGAGTGTGGGAAGAGCTAGGCGGCGGGGAGCCAGGGCAGTTAGGGGAGAGCAGACGCGGGGAAGGGAGCCGCTTCTCAGGACCGTGCTGCCTGGGCTCAAAGAACGGTGACGGGACCAGGGACCAGGGCTGCCCAGGGGTGTTCCCGGGCAGGGCTCTCAGAAGGGTGAGACAGGGGGCGGCCCAGCTTGCTCTGACTGTCCCCTTCACCCCTTTAGGTCCTGAGCCTTTGCCCCCCCAGGGCCTGCAGTGCCTGGTGCTCCTCTCTCACGCCCACAGCCAGGCGTGCAGCCTGGCGCCCGGGCTGCGGGGGCCCGAGGGCCGCGATGGTGGGCTTGTGTGGGAGTGCTCAGCGGGCCACACCTTCTCCTGGGGCCCCTCCGCAGGCCCCAGGCCTCCAGCGGAGCCCACGCCAGCCCTCCCTCCGAGTGCTGCCCAGAGGAGCTGGCGCGCAGAGGCCAGGGGTGGGCAGGAGCCCGCAGGTAGGCGGGAAAGGAGAGCTGTGGAGAGTAGGAAGGGGAAGGGGTGTCCGTCTCTGGAGCTCATGACCTTCGGCTCTAAAAACGATCTGTTCTCAATGGGAAAACCATGTGTCAGGAAATATGTCCTTCATAAATTTTAGGCGTAAAAAGGAAAGTACATCATAGGATATTCAGCATGTGTTTTGGTGGGGAAATAAGGGGAGAAAGCACTTTTAAAAGAAAGAGATCTCTCTGGGAAGGCCAGTGGAAACCAGATTGCCTGTGGGGAGAGTTAGGCCACCAGGGGGCAGTACTGGAAAGGAGACTTTTCATCGTGTACCTTTTTATACTTGTGTGTGCTTTTCTTAACCATGTGAATGTGTCATCTTTAAAATAAAATACCTTTTCCCACTATAGTAGCCTCTGCCCCTTCCTAAGAGTCCTCCCGTGAATTCAGACCTTAGAGTCCACCTGCCCTCATCCCTCCAGCCAGAGTTGCTCACCCCTTAACCCCACCTGTGCCAACAGGTTTGGATTCTGAACATGAGGAGAGGACTCAGGAGGCGAGGCTGCCCAGGTGAGGCTGGGTGAAGGAGGGACAAGCTGGATGGGTGGGCAGTAGGGGTGATGGTCAGAATCTCAGGCTTGCCTTCATTGTCCCTGCAGGGAAATGGGACCCCCACCCGAGTCCTTCCCGCCTCCAGGAGAAGGCAAGGGGGAGGATGAAGATGAGAGCGAAGAGGAGGTGCTCAGTGATGCCAGCCCATGGACCTACAGCTCCTCCTCAGACAAGCAAGTTGGGGCTGAGGGACTCTGAGCAGAGCAGGAGGCGGGGCAGCTGACTTGGTGGGAAAGGCAGAGAGAATGGAGGCTTGGGGTTGGGTGGAAAGGGGTTCAGTTAGGCTTCACAGGAGAATGAAGGCCAAATGCAGATGTGAGGAGAAGCCTGGGTGGAGTTGTTCTGAGTTTGGGATCGGCTCACTTTAGGGGCTGGGGTGGGGCTGTGGCTGGCTGAGGGCCCAGGGAGTTAACGTCCTCCTCCTCCTCCTTTCAGTTGTGAGCCAGATGCCCCCGGACCACACCCGTCCCCTGTCACCCAGGCACTTACGGAGGGAGAGACACCTCTAGCCCCTGAAGCTGCCCCCACTTCGCCTGCTGTGCCGCCCTCATCAGCATCCTCACTGGGGTCTGGAGCCCCTCTGTCTGTGGGAGATGAGGGGGAACCGGAGCTCGATCAGACCCCTCACGTGGCCCCGCACACCGAGCCCCCGGCCAGGTAACCTCTTGGCTGAGGCAGAGGCAGGGGGGTCCTGGGACGTGGCCCTTCCTGAGGCCTCTCCTCCCTCTTTGCTGCTCGTAGCCCTGGGAGTCAGGTCCAGTCTGCTCCGGCGGGAGCCTGGGATGAGGACAGTGCACAGATTGGCCCCAAGAGAATTAGGTAAGGCTCGGGGAGCGGGCTGAGAGGGAGGGGGGCTGAGAGAAGGGGGGCTGAGAGGAGGGAGGGGCCTGAGAGGAGGGGGGGCTGAGAGGAGGGAGAGGGCTGAGGGGAGGGAGGGGGTTGAGAGGAGGGAGGGCTGATAGGAGGAAGGGGGCTGAGAGGAGGGAGGGAGCTGAGAGGAGGGAGGGGGGCTGAGAGGAGGGAGGGGACTGAGAGGAGGGGGTCTGAGAGGAGGGAGAGGGCTGAGAGGAGGGAGGGGACTGAGAGGAGAGGGGGTCTGAGAAGAGGGGGGGCTGAGAGGAGGGGGGGCTGAGAGGAGAGGGGTTCTGAGAAGAGGGGGACTGAGAGGAGGGGGGGGCTGAGAGGAGAGGGGGACTGAGAGGAGGGGGGGCTGAGAGGAGGGAGGGGACTGAGAGGAGAGGGGGTCTGAGAGGAGGGAGGGGGCTGAGAGGTGGGGAGGCTGAGAGGAGGGAGGGGACTGAGAGGAGGGGGGCTGAGAGGAGGGGGGGTTGAGAGGAGGGGGGCTGAGAGGAGGGAGGGAGCTGAGAGGAGGGGGGACTGAGAGGAGAGGGGGTCTGAGAAGAGGGGGGGTCTGAGAGGAGGGGGGGGCTGAGAGGAGAGGGGGTCTGAGAAGAGGGGGGCTGAGAGGAGGGGGGACTGAGAGGAGGGGGGTCTGAGAGGAGGGGGGGGCTGAGAGGAGAGGGGGTCTGAGAAGAGGGGGGCTGAGAGGAGGGGGGACTGAGAGGAGGGGTGCTGAGAGGAGGGAGGGGTCTGAGAGGAGGGGGGGTCTGAGAGGAGGGGGGCTGAGAGGAGAGCCCGCGGGAGTCCTCAGCTCCTCCCTTTGCCCCCCAGGAAAGCTGCCAGAAAGGAGCTGTTGCCCTGTGACTACCCCGGCTGCGGGAGGATCTTCTCCAGCCGGCAGTATCTGAACGTGAGGCTGTGAAGGGCACAGGCTGGGTTCCTGGGCCTCGGGGAGAAGGAACCTGGGGAGCGGGGACCGGAAGTCACGGAAAGAAGGGCTGGGGTGGACTTGCAGAGCTCACCCGCAGTTGCTAATCACTAAGCCAGGTGCCTGACAGGGAAGGCAGAAAGCCCAGCCGTGGCCATGGCCACTGCCCACTGCTGCCGGTTGCACGGCCTCCAGCGACCACAGGAGTGACGGTCATCCTCAGGTCCTCTGGGGGAGAGTGACTGTTACAGCACTTGGTCTTTTGACCTTCGAATCGTCCTTAGGGAGTAGATGCTGGTACTGCTCCCGCTTTGCAAACCAGGAAGCCAGGGTACACACGGTGAAACGCTGTCCCAGCTCCTCGGCGAGTGTGTAATGGCCCCATAGTCAGAAGTTTGAGGCACAGAGAGGGCAGGGCCCACCCCTACACTCAGCCTGAGCCCTCCGGCAGGGTCTGGGGTCTGAGGAGAGCTCACACAGGGCTGTGAGGGGGGTGTCCCAGGAGCAAGGAGAGGGAGAGTCCTCCAGGGGAAGCGAAGCTCTGGGCTGTGGACATTGAGCAGGGCTGGCAGACACACAGCCTGTTCGAGGAGACGGAAACAGCCCCAGCGGCAGCTTACTCAGAGCTCATTACTGGACAGCAGTGGGTGACTGAGGGTATGGAGGAGGGTGGATGGAGGCGTAAGAGGGCATAGAGGGGACAAATAGTGATGGAAAAAATAAATAAAATGCAATCAGAAAAAAGGAAAGAACGTGGGATCTTGGAGGGGGAAGCCCCTGGGATTTAATGCAGCGGGTGTGGACCTGGGTCCCATGAAAAGAGAAGTGTATTCCAGAAGTACCTGGAAGTCAAGGTCGCAGACCACACTACCCTTAAGAATGTTCCGAGTTGAGAGTATGTGTGTCCAAAGCATGTCAGAGAAAACCGGATAGCATATGTCCGTGGCGATCTTCTGCTGAGAAGTAGGCCGTCGGGTGATGCTGTGCTTGAATATTGACAGTGAAGAGGGCAGTCGTGCCCCTGCGATCTGTCCGCCCCCCGCAGACAGCACAGCACAGTTGGGGAGCTGGGCATTACAGGGGGAAGTTGTGGCAAGGAGGTGAGGTCATAGAAGTCCAGGCGACAACAAGATGAGGGCACTCTGTGGTGGGGATGGGATGGGATGGGAGGGGCCCTCACAGCAGGGGATGTGAGCCGTGGGCCGGCTCTGGTCTCCCTGAGGGGCCCATTCCCTTCCTTAGCACCACAAGAAGTACCAGCACATCCACCAGAAGTCTTTCTCCTGCCCGGAGCCCGCCTGCGGGAAGTCCTTCAACTTCAAGAAGCACCTGAAGGAGCACGTGAAGCTGCACAGTGGTCAGTGAGGGGAGCGCCTCCTCTTTCCCCTGTGGGTCCTTTCAGCACCCCCTGGGGACCCCTCATCTCCCTCTGTGGCCCCCTTCCCTCCACTGAGGGTCTGTCATGTCCTCCTGGGGGCCGTCCACCTCCCCTTGGGGTTCTTCACCTTCCCGCCTGGGAGTCCCTCGCCCCCCTGTGGGCCCCCCGGCGTCCGCAGTCCCTGTCACGCTCGGTGACTCGCACACTCGTCATGCAGAGCTCCTGTGTGTTGAGCACGTAGCTGTTGTGGGTGCTGGGAAGCCTCAGTGAGAAAGCAGGCAGGCCTCACTACGCTGTCCGCTCCCGTGACCCGGAACACGGCCCAAGTGAAGGCCTGGGAGTGAGGCGTGCGTGGGGGAGTTGCTCGTGTAGAAAGGGAAAGTGCTTTGAGCAAAGGCCTCGGAGAAAGGAGAAATGGAGACGCGTCCATCTCTGCGAGCAGCCGAGGAAGGATGAGCAGACAGACAGGTGGTGGGGCCCCCAGACTACCATGAGGGTGGCTTGGCTCCTGGGCAGATGAGATGGATTGCACCTCAGGGTCTGGAGCAGGGAAGGGACACAGCTGACTTGAAAAGGAGAGCTGTGGCCCTAGTCAGTTTGGCTCAGTGGATAGAGCCTCGGCCTGCGGACTGAAGGGTCCCGGGTTCGATTCCAGTTAAGGGCACACATCTTGGTTGCAGGCACCAGGCCCTGGTCGGGGGCATGCGGGAGGCAACTCAGCGATGTGCCTCTGTCACCTCAGTGTTTCTCTCTGCCTCTCCCTTTTCCTTCCACTCTGCCTAAAAATCAATGGAAAAAATATCCTTGGGTGAGGAATTAAAAAAACAAATAGCTGTGGCTGCCATGTGGAGTGGAGGCAGGGTGTGCAGGGCGCAGGGATGTGGTCTGGACGCTGATGGGGTGGATCCGGGGGGCTGCCGTGGGACGGACACATTAGCACAGGATGGGTGGGCGAGAGGAGTCGGTGACTCGGAGGATTCCAGCCTGAGCAGTGGGGCAGCAGGTAATTGGCTTCCTGAAACAGACACAGGCTGCAGGAAAGGGACATTTTATTTGGGCATACTGATAGGTACCCCAGAAGGTTGGGGTACCTATTAGCATGTGAATCCGGAGTTTGGGGGGTGGGTTTGTCATAAGCACGTGGGTGGTTTTGGAGCTGGGGGTGGCATGACCCCACACGGAAGGACTGAGCCGGTGAAGAGGCTCGAGCGGGCAGGTAGGATAAGGCAGCTGCAGAGGAGCCAGCGAGGCAGGCGAGGCAACTGGCATTGAAGGGCCAAGCAAAGCCTGGGGAGCGGCGCTGTGCGGTGCACACGGCTGAGGAGGAGGGCGAGGGCAGGTCACAGCCATAGTGGGAAGCCGTCCTGGACTAGATGGCGATGACAAGGGGAATGACAGCCCGAACGGAGGGAGTTTCAGGCAGGAAGAAGCTAAGGAAGTGGAGACGGTGAATATGAACAACTCGGGGAATTGCTGAGAAAACAAGCAGAGAATTGGGGTCTTAGCTAAGAGCTTGGGACTCACGACGGGACCCATTCCTCAGAGAGGAAAGACTTACTGATTAGGCGGCGGGGGGACAACCTCTGGTCAGTTGGAAGGTGGCCGCAGAGGAGCAGGCGGTAGTATGTGGGCACAGAGCATTCTGGCTGGTGATCTGGGGGCAGGATGTGAGCATCCTGTCTGGGCTTGACTCTTATTGATGGCTTCAAGCTCAGTGCTGCATGGAGCTGCTGAGAGGAGGCGGTGTGAACATGCCTCTGGTCTCCAAAGGGCCGA